TAATTTTTTCCCTAAGATTCGCCGTTCTCAAGTTATTCATACCAATACAATCCCCTTGTGGCAGACACTTCTAACGATAATATTACAAGAATATTTGTTTATGTTTAAAAGTAAGTGCAATTTGTAAGCAAGTCAACAAAATTATTTACACTCCCTTCTACACCACCTGTGAGGTAGTGTGCTATATAAACAAAAAATCATTTTTTTTTAAAACCTCAACACCCTGTATCTCTAAAAGGGGGCCGTTCCAGACCTATGTTTATAAGGCAAACACATATTATTTTAAAGAGATCTATCTACCCTCGAAGTTTCCTGCATAAAATTCGGACCACCCTGTATAATGTGCTATAGACTGAGTTACACTGAACGTCGATCTGTGTTCTACCTCTGTCTATTGCACTTAGTAGACGATAGGGAAATGCTTTTTTAGTGGGTGTAAACGGACGTACGTAGTACTTGATTTAGCCGTCGTTAGAAATTCTATAGCATAAGCATAGGCAAGGCACATATTGGGCAAGGGGTCTAATTCCGTGGCTATAATAAACTTATAAATTAAAAAAATACAATCAGGGCGTTTTAAAACATAGTAATAATTAAAATGGATCAAAGTGCCAGTTGTAGCAAACCGTCTGTTGCTCATAAAAATAATAGATATCTTGTTGCTTTCTAGAAAGATGTCTATGGATTTTCGATCCCCGCACGCTTCATCCTTCTTACTAGTCCAAGAGCTAGCGATGAGTCACTCACTATAATTTCAAACGTGAACTATAACTATGATACAATTTTTGTAAATTTGAGTAGTTTAGAATAATAAAATTGTCACTTCACAACAGCTGTAAAATTACAGATTTTTCTTGTTTAAACAATTTTTGCTAAATAAGATACAGTTCAAGAGTGTACATATTTATTGAGACGTTTTGACTTTAATGCTATGTAAATAGATACATTATTTCTCAATTATATTAATTCATTTTCATCATTAATCTTAAAAAAAAAGAGAAGTTATATCACTGATAAGTAAATTAACCATAATAAATATTTGATGGAATTATATTTATTGTGATTAAAATGATGAATTATCTATAATTTTTTCCTTCCCTGTGTCTCCGATGTAGTGCAATACTCATATGTTTGTCATTGTTTGATAAAAATAGCTTAATTGTATTTCAACTTCAATGTAAAAATAAATTAATTATTCGAATCAAGAAAATTTATTGTAAATTAGAGATGGGAAAATTCCCAAACTATGAAAATTCCTGGAAAGTTTCCATTGAAAATTCCGGAAATTTTCCAAAAATTTCAAAAATTTTTTGTTTGGATTTGGTATTGTGTTCTACATACCATCAGCTTTCCAAAAATACCAAATACTTATATACATTTTTATTTATATTGGTATAAATATTGGAAAAATATAACTTATGTATTAATCATCCGTTAGAAAAAATTACATGCTGAGGGTTACAGTGCGAAACACTATACAGTATACAATATTTATCTTTATTTTTTAACAAACAAATAGTAAATACATTAAATAATTATACTAGTTTTAAAATGTAATTGTACTTTGGTTCAACTATCAAAATTCATATTAAATTTGAAAAGGAGGCAATTTATGAGTCTTGTATTGCTCTCTATTATGTAGATTGTAGACTTAACAAAGATTAAAATAAGTAAGTGTAAGTGTTTTCTAACTTATTTGGATAATATGGTCTTCTGGTATTCCGAATTAACCAAAAATCCGAAATTAACCAACGATTTTTTGTGTATGTTCATAGAAGTTAGAAGTAAAATTGGCTCCAAGTTTACAAATTGTTAGAAATATTCCCGGAAATTTTTCGACGGAAATTTTTTCAGAAACTTTCCAGGGAAAATTTCTCAAGCTTCGATTATTTCTTCCCGGAAAATTTCCGTTTTGGAAACTTTCCGGGATGGAAAATTTTCCATTGCCCATCTCTATTGTAAATTATATATAAATAATTAATAAATAAATTTTATACTGTTTACTGTTGGAATCTGTACAAATCTATGTCTAGCCAGTTTCAAATAAATGTTTTAGTGTCATAAATATACAGGCTGTTTATTAAGTACTTGTACAAACTTTAGAGGGTGAATCTCTGACTAATTTTAAAATAAAAAATTCATATGAACATGGGTACGCACGGCTTGGTTCTTGAGATACAGTGTGTCCAAAAGTTTAGTCAAAAATGACATACAGTGCAACATAAAAAAGGTTATGAGGTACAACACTGTATGTGGCACCTTCTAACATTAAACAAAAAACTAAGTAAATATCCAGTTTCCCGAATTTTGTCAAATTGCCATGTTAGAACAAATATGTAATGAAATTACCAAACAAAAATTTTTTTGGATCTCAAGAACCAAGCAGTTGCAGACCCATGTTCATATGACCTTTTTATCTTAAAATTTGTCAAATATTTGCCCTTTAAAGTTTGTACAAGTACTTAATAAACATCCTGTATGTAGGTACCTACATTCATATTCAGTTCGTTGAAAAAATAATTGATATTTTACTAATAATTCTATATTTGTTAATGCATATTTCAAACATTTATAATAACGATATTTGGTTTTTGCCTTTATATTATTCAAAAATACAGTCTAATATTTCTGAGCTTTGAAATTGTCTAGGAATTAGCTGTTAAAACAAATATTTATGTTAAACCTTTGTCTACAACACAGTCACTGTTTAAATTTGAAATAATCTATATCTTAACCTCTAAATTAGGAAGTTTTAGCTATTAAAAACCAAAAATATTTTTTGTATTGACATCACATTGACACATTAATTTCAAATTGCAATATAGCCTATGACCATCAAATTCACAGTACTATCAATATAAAGCAAATAAAGTATCCATATTGCAGTCATAAAGTCTCTAGACAACAAGGAATGCATTTGAGAAGTAATATCATATGACAAAGTTCCGATTTTTCCCAGGTTCGTTTTTTTGAGAACCAATAAATTTTCAGTCTGTTATAATAATTTTTTTGAATAGTAAGTAAATGAAAATTTAAAAATTTTCATATTAAAGTAAGCATGTAAGTAACATCAATACAGTTATTTTAATGTCAACATGGGTTAACTTGTTTGTTATAGCTATTTTACTTTGTGAATTTCTTCATGAATTAATTCATAAACTCATTTCATGCAGAAGTTGGATAAGTGTAATGCACTGAATCTATTGTTCTAATTTTCGTCAATTTCGTCTTTAGGGTTTAGTTATTTGTTCACATATTTCAATGTGTTTTTATAGTGACACTTGAATTGGCAAAGTAGGATTACAATTACTTTTTCTCTAATAAAAAATATCCATTCTCAACTTACTCAATTTGTTTTTATTTTTTATGATTTGGTTTTAAAGTTGGTAGCAGATATTTTTGTTGCAAAGAAATCCAAGAAGTTTAGAACAGTTTAAAACGAAACCCTTTAAACCCAAGCCCTTTAAAAATAAATTGCTGATTTAAATAATGAAGAAATTAATTAACTTATCTGTTAATGTAAAACAGCTTTTACAAATTTTACATTTGACTTGTTAGGTTAAAATAGGAGATTTCGGGTTAATGAGAGCATTACCACAAGAAGAAGACTGTTATGTCATGACTGAACATAAAAAAGTCCCTTTTCCTTGGTGTGCACCTGAATCTTTAAGATTTAGGCAATTTAGTCATGCTTCAGATACATGGATGTTTGGTGTAACTGTTTGGGAAATGTTTACCTTTGGTGAAGATCCGTGGATGGGATTGATAGGTAAATTATACTTTAATATTCTCTAATATTATTAGTATACTTAAATAATAATATAATATCGTAATATACTTTATTTTCTTTTTCAATTTGATTTTTTGATGGATATTATTAAAAGCCAAGTAATAGGCATTTTTATTCTACCATATTTTGAAATCATGATTAGATAAATCGACGCTTTAGTACGAAAACATACTATCTCAGATTTCGGTTGGAAAACATGCTATCTCAAATTTCAGTTGAAAAACATGCTATCTCAGTGTGACTAGAAATTTAAGTTGGCACATTGAATGATTGAAACCATGCATTTATAATAAACTTATATAATATATTTTTAAAAAAGTAAGGAATGTTTATGTTCAGGTACACTGTTTATTTTATTTTTTTTTATTCAACATTTTTCAATTAATTTTGTTAAGTTACTGTTATAAACGACAAAATTGTTAATTAAAAAAATAGAATAATATGCAGTATGCTGCAACACGTACATTACTCGACGTTTTTTGAAATAACAAATTATAAAAAAAAA